ATGTGCAATTCAAGTCTCAGACCCAATGGTTCGAAAAGTGCACCAGGCACATGTGCATGTGTGCCCCAAATCCCCAAAGAACGGAGGAAAAGGGATTTCAACATGGCTATTCCCCACAAGGCGTGTTTTCTTGCTTTCCCTCTCTTGCTTTATAGAAATAATAGCTGAAAACTTCTCAGACTGGATGAGAAATATTAATCTACACACTGAAGAAAATCAACAAACCCCAAGTAAGATAAAAAGCAAAGAGCCACACATATCAGAGTTAAAATACTGAAAACCAAAAATAAGAGGAAAATCTTTAAAGCAATAAGGAAAAAATGACTCATTACTTAAAAGGGAAATTCAAAAGCATTAACAGAAGTCAGCTGATTTCTCATTAAAAACTATGGAGTCCAGAAGGCAAGAGGATGACATACTCAAAGTGGTAAAAGTAAAAAACTGTCAACCAAGAATCTTGTATCTAGTAAAACTACTTTTCAAAGTGACAGTCAAAAAAATAAATAAAGATGAATTAAGGCTTAGAGGATTTGTAGAGGATCTATTTTGAGAAAAAAAGGAAGGGGACCGGCAGATGGTGTAATGGTTATGTTGCTGGACTCCCACATGGCTGACCACTGTTCAAGTGCCGGACCTGGTGTCTTGAAACTCACACCGGGCACAAGTGTGTGTGTGCCCAAGATCCCGGGAAGAGAAAAAAGAGTAAGGGACTGTGGTGTGGCCATGCCCCCCGGGAGGTAAGTTCTCACTTTCCCTCTCACTGTCTCTGTCTCTCTTCACCTAGCATACATGCCCTAAGGCAAAAACCTCTTTTTTAGAGAGTTTATTTATTTATTTATTTATTTATTTATTTATTTATTTTTGCTGTAAGGCACATGCACTCACCAGAGAGACAGAGACAGAGAGACAGAAAGCTAGAAATCACCCCCTGGGGGGGATGGTCATGCCACAATCCCTTCTCCTCCACTCTCTTCTTGGAATTTTGGGCACGCACGCACATGCACCTGGCATGAGTTTTAAGTCACCAGGTCTGGGACTCAAACCACAGTCAACTACGTGGGAGTCCAGTGACATAACCATTATGCCATCTGCTGGTCCCTGCAAAAACCTCTTTAAAAATGAAAACATAAAAATAAAAAGGAAGTTCTTCTGGCTAAAAGCAAGTGACTCCAACCAGTAATTTGGATACCTATCCTTACAAAAATAAAAAGAACTAAAGGAAATACAATAAATAACTGCATGACAACATATTACATCACTAAGATAAAAAGAATAAATTCCTAGAAAGACACAATCTATTAAAACTGACTCAAGAATAGAAAACTGAATAAATAAGTATAAAAATTGAATTAATACTTTTAAATCTTCCCGCCAAGAAAAGCCTAAGACCAAATAGCTTCACTGGTAAATTCTAATAAAAAGTTAAAAAATTAATATCATTCATTTGCAAACTCTTCCAAAGAATAAAAGATAAGGTAGCACTTTTCTGTTGATTCTGTGAGGCCGGTATTGATACCAACCAGACAAAGACAACACAAGAAAATTAAAACTACAAACCAAAATCCCTATGACTACAATTGCAAAATTACTCAGGAAATACTAGTAAACTGAAATCAGCACCATGTGTTTAAAAATAGAAAGATTATACACAATGACTAAGTGGGATTTATCCTAAGATGCAAGTTTTGTTTAACATAAAAGTCAATTAACATAATACATTCAATTCAGTGGGGGAAAAGAATAGCCTTTTCAACAAGTGACACTGAAACAACTGAGTGGACACACTGAAAAAACTGAAGTAGGAATCTTACCTAACATCACATACCAAAATTAACTTGATTAACTCACATACCTGAATATTAAGAGCCAAATGTATGAAACTCTTAGAAAATGTAGAACCAAACATCTGTGATCTTCATTTAGGTAATAGTTCCTTAGGTATGACATACCAAAATCATACACAACATAATAAAAATAATAATTTGTTCTAAATAAAAATTAAAGATTTCTGCACACTATTCACAATCGTCAAGATATGAAGGCAACCTAAGCATCCATCAATGATGGATGAATGAATAAAAAAGAGATGGCATACATATACAATGAAATACTATTCACCTATAAAAAAATGAAATCTTATTCACAGCAACATGAATGAGCCTGAAGAACATAAACTGAACTAAGCCAGACACAAAAAGAAAAAAATCACATGTCTTACTGATGTGTGGAAACCAATAAAGTTGACCTCATGTAAGTAGAGAGTAGAATAGTTGTTACTATTCTACAGGGAATGGTAGGGAAAAGGAGAAGGAGAAATGAATGGTAACAGACAAAAAAATTACAGTCAGATAGAAAACATAAGTTCCAGTGCTTTACAATGTAGTTAACAATAATTCATTATACACTTAAAAATGGCGGAAAGAGGATCTTGAATGTTCCCAACAGAGAAATTGTAAATATTTTAGATGATGAATATGCTAATCACCCTAATTTGATCATCATACATTGTAAAAATATACTTAAAAATTACTCTGTACTCCATAAATATGTACAATTAATATATGTGTCAATTAAAAATAAAATTAAAAACTTCTGCAACAAATATTACCATCAAGAAAGTTAAAAGGCAATCCACAGAATAGGAGAGTATACTTGTAAAGCATATATTTTAAAAAAAAACTTGTATCCAGAATAAACAATGAATGTTTACAACTCAATAATGAAAAAAACAAATAGTTCAATTACAAACTGGATTTAAATATACATTTTTCCAAAGAAGACATACACATGGCCAATAAAAACACAAAATGATGCTCAACATCATGTGCCATTCAGGAAGTGCAAAACCACAAGGAGATACCACTTCACACTCAGTAGGATGGCTATAACCAAAAGTCAGATAATAGTTGGTGTAGACAAAGATATGGGAAAATTATAAAGCATTGTTAGCAGGAATATAAAATGGTGCAACTACTTTAGAAAACAATCCAGTAGTAACTCAAAGAGTTAAACAGAGATTTACTACTTCTATTGCTTGATAGATTAGCCAAGAGAAATAATGGCAAAAGTCCACATAAATATTTGTCTATGAATATCTTTGACAGCTATTCACAACACCCAAATGGTGGAAACAACCTAAATGTCCATGAACTAGAATGGATGTGTTATATCCATAACATAAAATATTATTCAGCAATAAGAAATAATGTAATGCTGATACATGCAGTAATATGGCTGAATCTGTTAAACAACATGCTAAATGAAAAAAGCCAGTCACAAAATACCACACAGCCCATTATCCTATTCATGTGAAATGTCCAGAATAGGCAAATCCATGAAGACAGAAAGTACCAGCAGTTGCCTAGGGTTGAGGAAGGCAGAGGGAAGGAATTGAGAGTGGCTGCTAATGGGTACAGGATTTGAGAGGGTGACAAAAAAAATGATACAATTAGATTGTGGTGGTGGCTCCACAGCTATGAATATACTAAAAATCCAACAAACTGTACATCTGAAATGGCTAAATATTATGCTATGAGAATTATATATCAATAAAGATTCTTTTTCTAACTGACCAGCTATTTTTCTATTGGGTTTGTCTCTCAGCATCAGAAAGTCAAAAGAATGGAACCCACTTTCTCTGCCACTAGAAATTAGTCCCAATGATAGCTCACTGTTGACTGATTATATAACCCTCATCTGGGCACTTATATTGTCCAATAAAGCTGAGCCAGGGTGCTGGTAAGCAAAGGTAGAACTTGATTCTGAATAATTCCTTGCCGTAGAGGCCTCAAGTTGTATAAAAATAATCAAATCAAGTAAAAGTATCAGATTCTGTTCCCTATTTCATTAATTATAAAAAAATTTGCATATTGAGGTCACTGGGAAGATGTAGTTTTGTTTTGTTTTGTTTTTATCCCATTTACACATATTTCAATTCTCTACAGAATGACACTAATGTTATTCTACAACAGATAACAATTATTAAGTGATAGGACTGACAAATATCATGGACGAGTAGCTATAGAACTTCCCTTCAAAAAGTAACCTTGTACAGTCAGTTTTATTTCAGAAAAGAAACAGAAGGAGCAGTTGCCTAGGGTTGAGGAAGGCAGAGGGAAGGAATTGAGAGTGGCTGCTAATGGGTACAGGATTTGAGAGGGTGACAAAAAAAATGATACAATTAGATTGTGGTGGTGGCTCCACAGCTATGAATATACTAAAAATCCAACAAACTGTACATCTGAAATGGCTAAATATTATGCTATGAGAATTATATATCAATAAAGATTCTTTTTCTAACTGACCAGCTATTTTTCTATTGGGTTTGTCTCTCAGCATCAGAAAGTCAAAAGAATGGAACCCACTTTCTCTGCCACTAGAAATTAGTCCCAATGATAGCTCACTGTTGACTGATTATATAACCCTCATCTGGGCACTTATATTGTCCAATAAAGCTGAGCCAGGGTGCTGGTAAGCAAAGGTAGAACTTGATTCTGAATAATTCCTTGCCGTAGAGGCCTCAAGTTGTATAAAAATAATCAAATCAAGTAAAAGTATCAGATTCTGTTCCCTATTTCATTAATTATAAAAAAATTTGCATATTGAGGTCACTGGGAAGATGTAGTTTTGTTTTGTTTTGTTTTTATCCCATTTACACATATTTCAATTCTCTACAGAATGACACTAATGTTATTCTACAACAGATAACAATTATTAAGTGATAGGACTGACAAATATCATGGACGAGTAGCTATAGAACTTCCCTTCAAAAAGTAACCTTGTACAGTCAGTTTTATTTCAGAAAAGAAACAGAAGGAAGGTAGAAAGTATAAAATAGACAAAAAAAAAGTAGAAAGCTCATTAAGCCAATAGAATGGAAAATTGCTATATTTTCCTTTCTAGCATTCAAACTCTAATATGAATCAGGCATATTTTAATCAATTATGCCAAGTGGGATTAGTTTAATAAAGTACACAGCAAACTGAGAAGACAAACAGTACCTTCTGGGGGCGTTCCAATGCTGCTGCCAAGACCTAAAATAGCCATCTTGTGAATCCTTGGCTGCAACATCACAGCGGATTCTTCTCCCCTTTCCCAGTGGGGTATTTTGACTGGTTCCAGGTGGACATTATCAAGCCCATTTTCCTGCAGATTTTGATACATAATTTGGATAGCTTTCTCTAGGTTCTTGGAACCACTTAGTCTGGGTCCAACAGTATCAACCAGAAGTGCCAATCGCTCATAGGATCTGTTCTGAGATTTACCGTAAACTGCGAGGTTGATGATGGCTTTAGCAACATCTCCATAGCTGGCTATTTCTTCTTTTATTTCTTCAAAAGTCCTTTGAGAAATGCCATTCTTATAGATAGCTTTCCCAGAACCCAAGGAAAAAAGATGACCAACAACAAATATGAAGATAAGGAACTTCATATTTCTTCCAATTCGTTTTCTTCAAGATAATCTGTACAAGTAAGAAACATTGATATTTTAGGGGGGAAGAATCTCACAGCCATCTGCCCATAACCCAGAGATTGCATTTCAAGCAGCATTCTCCTTCCCTTCCCAACCACTGACCAATCTCCACCATTGAATTCAGGCACCATAACTACCAGAAAAGGACAAGTAAAGAGACAGTGATTGGACTTACTAATACAGTAGCATTTATTAAAACCATGGGATCACATGTTACTTAGTAATCCTGTGCAAAATACTCTGGGAGATTGAAATGAGAAGATAATGAGGAAGAGGAGAATGAGTTAGTGGTAGCAGTTACAGGAATAAGAGTTACCTGCTGCACCAGCCCCCTCCTCACCAAGTAGAAGTAGAGTATACACCAACTCTGCAGTGCTCTCTTGCTTGATGTGCTCTTTTCTCTTTGTCTGTGAAACTCATTCTATTAAGCTCTTTAAGATGGCATCTTTTCTCACTGTCTCTTTCATCCCCCTTAAATGAAAAAGAATTGCTTCTTCATCTATCCTCCAGAAGCACTTTATATTAATATTCTAAATATAATTATTGAATTCCCAATATATGCCAGGGACTGTGTTATGTTTTTAGAAGGAAAAAGTCTAAGCTACAACAAAAAGCAAATAATTAATAAAAAATACACAACAAATGGGCTTTGTTATCATATAAGCATATGATATCCACCACCTACATGATAATAATGAAAAACTTACAAATGAATGTAAAGTTCTCTGTTGGTAAAAAAAAAAAAATTAAGTTCTGTATTTTTTGCTTTATAAAAAATATTAAATAAATGAATAAGGATTCAGTTTCTTCATAACTAGCTACAGTCTAAGTACTCAATAGCTACATGAGGCTACATATTAGATAGAACAGATAGAACATTCTTATCATTAGAGAACATTCCACTGGATAGCACTGGTTTATACAGTTTTATAAACTGTACATCTGTTTTGGTTTGAATGCTTGTTCCCTCCAAAAGTCATGTTGGAATTTAATTGCCATTGTGATGGTATTGGGAAGTGGGACTTTCAAGAAGTGTTCTAATAACTAATAATAACTAATGCTATTTTCCATGAAATGGGTTCATTCTTATGGGAGTGGGTTTGACCCCTTCTACCATATTATGTCATACATCATGTTATAATATATAAAGATCTATACCAGATTTAACTCCTTGAGCTTGGACTTTCAAGCATCCAGAACCAGGAGCCAATAAATTTCTGTTCATTATAAATGTTTCATTCTGTGGTATTCTGTTATAGCAGCATAAAACAGACTAAGACAAAAATTGGTACCAGGAAAGTAGGCTGTTGCTATAACAAATATATAGCTGAAAATGTGGAAGTGGCTTTGAAATTAGGTAATGACTAGAGGCTGGAAGAATTTAGAGAAGCAAGCTAGACAAAGTATCTATTTCCATAAATGGAGCATTAAAGACAATTCTAGTAAGGGCTCAGAAGAGAAAAACAGCTGCATAGATAGTCTGAAACTCCTTAGAGATTACTAAACTGGTTATGACCAGAATATTGGTAGAAATATGAATATTTCAGCAATTCTGATGTAGTCTCAGGCAGAAATAAGAAACAACATACTGGAAACTAGAGTAAAGGCCAACCTTCCTATAAAGCAGCAAAGACCTTGAATGAATTGTGTCCATCCCTGAAGGCTTTATGAAAGGCATACTTTAAGAGCATTGAACTAAGATATCTGGTTGAAGAAATATCTAAGCAAAATGTCAAAGGAACTATGAGGCTTCTTTTAACTGCATAGAATAAAATGAGAGAAAAAAATTGAAGACTGAATTTATAATTAAAAGGTAAACAGAATGTATTTGGAAAAACCCATAGCCTAGCTATGTAAAGAAGAAAAAAATATGTTAAGAATACAAACTAAGGGTGTATCCATGTAACCATTTACCAAAAAGACTGGTATCACTGGAAGAGAATGAAGTGCTGTTCATGAAGGCAATAGGAGAATGACCCTGAAGGCATTTCAGAGATTGTCAAGGCAAGCTAAGACTTGGAGAGCAAGGTTTCTAGAGGAGCACTCAGGAAACCTCAGCATTCACTATCCTGTGCTGCCTCAAGTGTCTACTTCCCACATTCTGGCACCGTATCCTTTGTACATCCCACCACTGCACAAGAAAGCACAAACGCAGATAGGCTCACCACTCCAGAAGATGCGAGGAAAAAGCTTTGGCAGTATCCATATGGTGCTAATTTTAATCAGAGTTCAGGAACTGTAGAAGCATGACTACTTCCACCTAGATTTAAAGGATGTACTGGACAGTCCAGAGGCCTAGGCAGAAATCTATTCCAGAGATAGAGAGCTGCCACAGAAAATCACTACTAAGTCAATGCCTAAAGGAGTCAGAGGGGTGGGAATCCCCCAAAGCCCCAGAATTGTACTACTATCAACATACAATACAAGCCTGGAGGACTACAGATATGAGACTCCAACCCATGAGAATTGTGACAAGGTCTAAGCTCAGAAAAACCATAGGGTTGGACTGCCCAAGCCCTGAAGCATACAATCCCTGAAACGGTGTGTTTAAGAGATGGGACATGGGAACCAGCAGTTAGCGTAATGGCTGTGTCGCTGGATTCCCACGTGGTCGACCGCGGTTCGTGTCCCGGACCCGGTGGCTTAAAACTCGCGCCGGGCGCGTGTGCGTGCATGCCCAAGATCCCTAGAGGAGAATGGAGGAGAAGGGATTGCGGCGTGACCATCCCCCCTGGGGGGTGATTTCTCGCTTTCTGTCTCTATGTCTCTCTCTGTCTGTCTGGCGAGCGCACGCGCCCTACAGTGAAAATCTCTCAAAAAAAAAGAGATGGGACATGAAGTAAAAAAAGATTATTACCAGGGCTTAAAATTTAATATTGTTCATCCTGTTGGGTTTTGGACTTACTCAGAACCAGTTACTTTTTTTTCTTAACTGTTTCTCCTATTTGGGATGGGAATGTCTATCGTATGCCTGTCCTATCATGTATGGAAGTAGCACATGTTTTCATTCTTATTTTTTCTGTTTCTCTCTCCTGACACACAAACATACACACACATGTATACATGCATTCATTCCTAAAGTGCTAGATTTTGAGCACTTGAAATCTGGCTACTACTCCAAACTGAGATATTTTGCGAATGTACAATATATACGTGATTTAATTTTAAAGACTTAAGTATGAAATGTAAATATTTCAGATATATTGTGTTAAGTAAACCACATTATTAATTTCATCTTTTTCTTTTATTTTTCTTAAGTAGTTATCAGTAAATTTTATATTATATTTATATTTATGTTAGACAATAATGCTTTAGCAGCATTGAACTGTTCTTCAAATACCTTGGGCCCTTTCACAATTCTGGGTCTCTACTCTATGCATGTTCATCCTCTTTTATTGCAAGGCCCTTCTACTCACCCTACTCCCCTTATTCTGATAAATTCCTTCACTAATTCTTCAGTGAAAATGCTTTAAAATCACCTCTTCTTGGGTCACCCTGCGGTGTGGTGGTTAAGGCAGCTGGATCCCACATGACTAACTTCATGGTTCAAGTTCCAGACGCAGCAGCTTGAAAACCATGTGTTCCCTAAATCCCAATAGAAGAGAAGAAGGGATTATACCATGGCCATCCCCCCTGGGGAGTTATTTCTACTTCCCTATTCTCTCTTTGTCTCTCTCCAGCAAACACAGGCTTCCTATACTGGGGGGAAAACATCACTTCTGTAGTGCATAACCAAATAACACCTCAGGGTTATTTGAACATCATCTAATGCTTCCACCATAAATTAACCATGTTATCAGCTCTATATTCCCTATTCTTTAAGTCAAGTAGGGTAAATTATTAACCACTTCACCCTCAGTTGTACTCAAAAATTGCCTAAGGAATGAAGGAGGTTTTAATCTTTCTAGGTCTTAGCACTCTTAGTGTAGGAAGTACCAGTCTGGACTCCTTCACAAAGAAGTTGTAAAAATAAAAACATGCTATCATATCTGAAATACCTTGAAATTTATGAAAACTACACATTGATGATGTTTTCCTTTTTATTACAGCTATTTACTTGCATTAGGTCTTGGTTTCTACAGTCACCATATTGATGCTTTTTTTAAAAACTAAATTTTGTTAAGTAATCAAAATATTTCACCAGATGGCAATTCATTCTTGAAAGTACATTTTTTCCATGTGTTTTTTGTGCAAAAAGAAGGAAACAAAAGGTTGCTAACCCACCTATTCATTAACACTAACCACAAATTTCTACTTCTTATTAAAAATTCTCTAAGCATTCTGCAAACATTAACTATTTCGCAATACATTTTTAGTTATGCATTAGAATCATATGGGAACTTTTAGATATATAAGAGAATTTAGAAGTCCTTAATTCATCTTTGTTTTGAAAGTTAATTAAGGCTTGTATTGTGATTCCCAAGCAGCTGATAAACCAGCAACTAGAAGCAGCCAGGTAACTAAACTTACTGACACAGACTTTCAGGAGGATTTCAAACTGTTTTTATAGGAATATGTATACATTTACATATAATAGAAGCTCAATGGGGAATACCCAAATACAGTCTAAAATGCAAATAACTATAGTCAAATATAATGTACTCAGGATTATACACAAATACAAAGGGAACACAGAGAAGAAGAAAGGGAACCATGAAGACATGACATCTAAAGACAGCCTCAAAGACTGGCTCAGTAGGCAAAGAAGAGAGAATGATTCTCTTCCCAGAGGAACCACAAGAACATCATCTTGTGGGTACATCTGGTTAAAAGATAATTCCAGAAAATAACACTGCCCAAGTCTAACATTTTTATATTCTTTTGCATGTATATCACTTCTATTAATAAATATCATGTCATCTTTTTTTTCTTTTTTTTGGAGAGGTTTTTGCTACAGGGTGCGTGTGCTCGTCAGAAAGACAGAGAGAGACAGAGAGACAGAAAGTGAGAAATCACTCCCCGGGAGGATGGCCGCGCCGCATACCTTCT